GAAATCTGAAGGACTCTCGCTTCTCCTTTCGTCTTGTTGGTACTTAGCAAGAGGATATCCAATAGTTGGAGGGAGATGGAAAGTATCTTGATGTGAAAAAAGGTCTTTAAAAAATACGAATATTCATCCTCAGCTCTATATTATTTTTAGTTTTACTAAGGTCTTCCGATGTTATTAGCCACCAAAAGATTTCTCGGTGAATAATAGCCGAAGGGGAAATTTGGGTCATGAAATAGTTGCAAAACAGCGGCCCACATCATCATCTGCAAGATAGTACTAACTCCCTTTTTCACTCCATTTTGTCCAATAAAAAAAAAGCATTCGATAGCATAGAGTTGAAAGTTATGATACAAGCGCTTGTAAACGGAGAGATTGATGGAAACTGCGTGAAAATTTTGATGAAGAAGCGAACATAGGCTACCTGATCAATCCAGAACTTTTTTATTCTCCAAATGTATGTACGGTCAGGAAGCGCGTCGAGTCAGCTTTCTAAGCGTTTCTCCGGACTATTTCAAGATGATATTTTACGAGCTAAATTGAAAGGATGATGTGGACGTTATTGCTGCTAAATTGCCCAGAATTCTAAAAAATTTTTTACAGAACCAAGCAGAATTATGTGGATCTTTTAATTTGAAATTTTAAATTTTTGACGAAAGAGAATGAAAAACAATTTGTTTAAATGTTTGATACCTGTTTTTCCATTACACAAATCCGACCTGCATGTTCTGCACAACGTACCCACTAAATTAACCCTATCGCATGTTGGCGCACAACCTTTTCGGAGTCCTGAAATCCTCATTCGTAATGATTATTTTCAATCATGTCAATGCATTTTTCGAAATCGATATGTTATTCTTAGATGGCCCAATCGCGTTGTTTTTTTTCCTAACTTCCGCTTCAATTTGACTTCTTTTCGGGGTTCTGCGTCTTGATTTTTTTTTTGAAATTGAACCACACACCATTTTGTTTGACATCGTAATTTTCGGCAACCGTAAAGCACTCGTTGTTCTTCGGACACTGCTCTTCACGGGGATTTGCACATTCTTGCGGGCCGTCACAAGTGTAACAGCGCAAACATTCGCCTGAAATTGCAAGGAATCGTATAATTTTCAAAGATTCGAATGTTTCGACTTGTTCTAAGCCTGCTGGAATTAACTGAAGTACTGGTTCAAATAAACTGAAAACTTTGAATAATTCTTCGAATAATTTTCTCTTTAACGATTTTTTAGTTTACGATTTTTTTAGGCTTTTGCAAATCCTCAAATGTAGAACTTCTCACATTTCTTTAAAAATCCTTAAAGGTAAAAGTTAGGATGCAGCTGACACCATGATCTCTTAATCGTCAGATTCTATGTCCACCAGAATTTAAAGTAATTCTAGGGTGCGTCATTTCGGAATGTCAAGGGGGAGTGGGGAGGGAAGGGAGGAAGAGGGAGTAGATTTGAGAACCTCATTTTACATCACACGCATTTGCTCAGATTTTTATTAGGCTGAAAGAAATATTATCGCAGATGGGTGATAATTGTAATAAATTAGCAACATACCGTACTGCAAACTGGTTGTCAATGCAAGAATTCCGAACGTGAATTTTATGAATGGCGATTGTTTCATGGACTTCTCAGCTATCACTTTAAGTAAATTCCGGAGCGTCTTGCGTGATTTCTCGGTTTACGTTCTCCAGGAAATCTAAAATATTGCTCATTTAGTCTGCATAGTATTTTTGGACTCGATTTTCGCGTCCACATTGTTATTTGGTTCGCTGTTTGCTCTCATTTTTTGATTTTGGATAAGTTATAAGTTTGCTTTCATCTTCTGATAAAAAACCCACTGTTTTTGAGATTCTGTAGAGGACATTTGAGATTGAAAATTTTTGTTAGCCATGCTAGAACGCGCGATGCTTGGGATCACCTCATATTCATTTCACCAAAAGTTTTGTCATATAAATGATCTGCAAGGTGTCGTCGTGGAAACTGGAATGCTTAATGGTGTGGATGAATCGCTCATTTTGCTGACCATCAGCTACCGTCCAGTATCACTGAGTATT